AAAAACTCATTTTAAATACGGACTAGAGTTCCAAGTTTTATAATGTGAAATAAGCAAGCACAAAAAAATTTAGGTTTAATTTTTAAAATATTGTGTGCAAATAAAGTAAGCAGTCAAGTGTAAATTGAATATAAAAAAATACCTGGACAAAATGTATAAGGTTTCAATAATTTTGAAAAAATTTAACACTCAATAACTGAAACTCATTTCGTGCATTAGTTACAAAACTAACAAAGAAAATTCCTTATGTATTTCTCTATTTTTATTAATGATAATGTTTGTGTTTTTTGATAAGATATCTGGCAACGAATACAAATACAAGATTGATACGCCACACATTAAAAAAGAAAAAAAAGTGTTTTTCATGTAAAAATTTTATTAACTGATAAACGATAAATTATATATTATGATTCACAATAACACAAGTGACGAAATATTCAAGGATAATTACAAAGTATAAAGACAATAAAATCTGATGCTGATATTCAACAATTTTAAAGAAAAATAAAATTCAACAATAATTTTTACTGCAACAACTGTAAAATAATTCGAAAAAAAATCTATAAAAAATATTTTTTTTTAAATGTGTATAAATTGCCATACCAGTACATCAAACAATATCACCCAGTTGGCTGGGTAGATACAAAATGGCCCTTTAATTATATTTCATCGTTATTAAGCCCATAAAATGGTAATTGGCGAATCCAGTTGATGCAGGAAAAACTTTTTAACGCACCTATTGATATTTTTCTTAGTACACAGATGCATACACATGTATACATATAAAGGCACACACGCGACTCCCGAGCACATCTGCATGTATTTTTTTTACACAAAACGACTCGATTAAAATGCCGGTCGCGTTGACAGCAAAAATCCATCGATGTTCCTGTGCGTCTCACTGCAGAGCGGATGGAGGAGGGGGAGGAAAAAAAAAACGAAAGAGAAGGATGGAAGGATGTGTGTAAACTGACCGAACGACATCTGGTTAGTCGATTTTTCGAGCGACCCTGACGACCATCCACAAGGAGTTGAGGCAGGCTCGACTTTCTAAATTCGTACATTTGTGCCCAAAAATTTTTTTTTTTTTTTTGCTTGTTTCAATTAAAAAAATTAATTAACTATGACAGCTTGAAAAAAAAAACAGCTGTATAATAATGACTCGCGATGATAATCGTGCTCTTTTATCCCCTCAATTCTCAAGCGACACCTGACGTTCATCATTAAAATTCAACACTCGGATCTCACCTGCTGTTTGATTAGCGTTTTTATTCAAGACTGCCGAGGTGACTCGCGATCAGAAAACAGATGTCGAAAGCTGTCAAAAAACCAGAGAATACCCCAACTTGATTGACCCGACCCCGAGAGGAGAGTCGAGAAGTGGGGAAAAATAAATATGGCGACCACGATGGATTCAATGATAAATTCGACTTTTTCTTCCAACGATTTTTCAAGGGATTCCTCCTTCCATCTCCCGATAATAAGCGGCCGACGCAAACGAAACTCTTTTTTTTTTTCTTCCTCTCATCGGGTATGTGTTGCCTTTGGAAAAGTTTTACCCATAGGTTTTTGTTGGTGGAAACAACTTCCGTTCGATTGGATTACTTTTCATATCTGATGATAAAACGTACTGTCAGCACTTTGTTACACCAAACAAAGACATAAATTACGTCACTCGTATTTCAAAATTATTTACTCGGGGGAAAAAGCTCTGATTTCAATTATTCATGCATCCTTGATAGTGATGCATTATGAGCTTAATTAATGGCGGTAAAGGCGAGGGTAAAGGACTATGTAAGCTCAAGTCATCAACAATGGAATGAGCAGACTAGTCGATATATACACTTGAAAAAAAGCTGGAGGAGGTGTCTTACCAAAAGAAAATGAAGAAAAAAAGGCCTATCTTTATTTAATATTAGAGGAAAATTAGGTTTTAGTTGATAATTTTGTAGTCTAATTTGAGATTTTTTTATATGGTGATTTACTTGTTATTTATGTGCTATCAAACGGATTTTATTTCACAAACTATGGGCCAGTTAGAATTTATTCAGCAAATATTATTCTCAAAGTTCTTATGTTTTATTACATGTTCTCTTGTATTCTCATGTATTTTCATTTGTACTCTCAGCTCCGTACATTCTCTTAACTTCTCTTTTGTTCTCNGGCATGTTTGGGTGGAGCCGGTGCACGTGCTCGATGACTTCGTTCAAGTCCTCGCAGTTGGAAGCACAGTACAATCTTGGTGTCTGTAATAAGGTATCCTTTATTTAATATGCATAGTATTGCGTCCATAAATATTTTTATACACGGTGTGACAGTTTTTTATCTACGTATATTATGTTGGTTTTTCCTACTAACTTTCAATTGTTTTAATTGCTCACGTTTATTAATATCTACTTGAGTGTGGTGATTGATTTCATGCAATAACTCAATAATATACATTTATAAGTATTTTTATTTTTAAGTTTCAGTTATTGATAAAAGTTCTAAGATATAAAAAAAAGTGTTTGAATGTTTAATAGGACAATTAATTTTAATTGCCTAATTTTCGTTAATAGTCACATAATTAATGGTAAAATTATCCAAGTGGAAAGTCACTGAATCGTATATCCCCCATGAGAAGTGGAACTTTACACAATAATATTTTGTTTAAATATAAATTTTAAAACTGATTGTTGTGAAAGTTTCCAAGAAAAATGAGTAGTCTACTATTAATACGACAAATAATAGAGTTTCCACTTGCATAACGTCAAGATAATAATTGGGATCGACCACATAGCGCCATTGCCATATATGTAAATCTCCTTGAAGTGGCTAGCTTTTTTATCTTGAAAAAACTCTGAGGTGAGAAACGGCTTTGTGGGGTCGATCCCAACACAACTGTGTGCAAAAAATTTGTACCTTTAATTTCACGCCACCTAATCCTCTGTTGTTAAATATAACGCATTTGATGCCGACATTTTTAGCCGCGTAGACTAGACATTTTATGTATTCTGCATGACTTGCTCCCGTTAAACCGGGCAATATTATCATGATTGGCGAAGTTGGACAACAATTTTGCTCGGCCCAGTCAAGGGCCACTTCACCGCCATCTGATAGAATCAAAATTTCCCTGCAACGATTATTCTATCATTTTTTAATTCACATATTTTTACATACTATGTTCGATATTGTCGAGATGCAATCATAAATGAATTAAATATGAGTCTTTCTATTGACGCTTTGCAGACGAATTTAAAAATCAAAAACTGCTTTAGCAATCAAAGTCAAATTTTATACGTTTGAATGATGTAAACGCAATGTGAGTTAATCTCTAAGGATATTTTTTAATACTTTTTTTTATGTATTATTTCTTGATCCATATTGTTATCAAATAAAACAAAGTTCAACACACCTGCGGTATTTTATGTAAGGCCACAATCGTGACCTAAGTAAGTTCGCAAAAACAGTCTGAGCTCTGCTTTCAAAACACCATAATGTGGGCCAAAATTTGTCTTTGAGAATCGGCACATTATCATTTATGAAATCCAAAAATGGCCCTTTAGCACAATAAACTTGTGGTGCCTGTAATGTAAAGAAAAAATATAATTAATCGCACAGTGTATGTAGTAACATGCCGTTAATTAAAAAAAAAAACTTTTTACCCTTATAACACGATTCTATTAACGTAGCAGTTTTACTTTATTTTATAAATAGACCATTATTTATTGATTAACATTTTTTTATACAGTCAGAGCTAAAAAAAAAAAAATCATTTTAGTTCTGAATTGGAGGGAAATATAAAAAAAAAAACTTTTTACTAGTTGCGACATGAATCATTGATTAATTGAAACGATAGCACAGCTGTCTTTATATTTACAGAAAAAAAGGGGGGCACAATAGGGCTGCTACGTTGGTTCCTAAATGAGAAATCGACATTAGTTGGTATTTGGATTTTCCAACTTCTCTCTGGGCCACGTAAGTATACCCCAGATTCGAGGGCTTATAGCTTTAACTTGGATTTGGGTAGTTGCATCAATTTTTTTTTTTTTTCTTTTTTTTTCAACAAATGAGTTGAATGTTATTTAAATTTATAAAAAAACCTATTGTGTTGTACTTGTGTTAATTTTGGGATTAGTACATTAAACTTTTTATAGCGTGAATTGCGAGTATACATAATAAAATTCAAAGCACTCCAGTAATGGAAAGCTTAAATTACGATTTTATAAATTAATTAGAGCCCTCAATTTTGCAGTTGAATTGGTTGGCGTGTACGCACATATTGAAGGATTTTCGTGGAATTAGGTCAAGGATGTATTTTACGTGTCACCGGAGTTATATGTGAATTTTGTAAAATAAAATGTTTGAATAAAAATACAGTAAATTTATTACGAAATTTCGCCAAATTAATTACTTAAAAAATAACAAAATTAATGCATTATATTGGAAAAATACAGTTTTAAGAATAACAATTATGTGAATTACAACAATCGATCTACACACTTTGTAGGTCAATAAAAAAAAAAAATATGCAAAATATAAATTACAAAGTGCATTGCGAAACATTGCGAGCTACTCCTTATAAACCGTTGTTACTATCCCTTGAAAAAAATTAAATTACATACTTTGTTTCTACTTTCCATCATCTTTTGTGTCAATTACGTGAATGGTATACTAATATAGTATACTTGCTTTGAATATATTTGACGGAATTTATGTGATTCTTTTAAAATGTTACAACGAGAACAATTACGCAATCGTTCCAGTTTTATTGTTTCATTAAAATAATACAAAGCTACTTCAATAAAGGTTTCGAAATAATGCTCGTGTAGAAAAATAAAAAAATTAGTTTATTTCTTTGGTACAAGCAATAATTTAATGAAGTTCACGAAAGCGAAAATATTACAAAACAACGGGTTTTTTTTTCTAACATCAACGCACAATGCGAAAAAACAATATTTCACTTGTCCATTCATAAAAAATAAAAATATATAACGCGCATAAATTCTGGATAGGCATGTAATTGTGAGTTGAAAAGATTTTATCTCTAGCCCCTTTCATGGTATTTCTACTGCAAATAAAGGGCCTCCTACCCAAATTGATAAGCATCGCATCACGAGCCAATTTTGCGATTCGCGTTTATACACTGTGTACATACACATACACACTAGCGAGTCGAAAAAAAAGTAGGATGCTTTTTAATAGAAGAAGACCGTATAGTTCCTCCGTACTCCCTTTGACAGTAGTATCAAAGCAAAAATTCCCCTCTGCGGATTATTTGCGCGAAAGAGGTGACGAACAACGAAATTTTTTACCGCAAACACGTTTCTTTTTTTTTTATTGTTGGCTAAGAGTACACTGTATGCAATTTTTCTTCATCCATACTCGCACGAGCATTGACACCGATATTTTAATTCCCCCGCGACTCTGAGGCCGTACACATATACACACAAAACGGTATGCGCTGTGCTCCCTCGTCCCGTATTTTTCTCTTTTCTTTCCCTCCTCTTTCGTTTGCTCGCGTGTTTCCTCTTCTTCCGCTAACTTTTTTTTTGCACGTACACGTGTGTGGTCGGCGTCGTTCCATAAACCTTTGGGAGGGGGGGGGGGGAGTTTTCGTTCCGAATCGTGAATCAAAGTTTAGCCTTCGCTTTGCTGACACATTTTCTCAAGTACTTTTTCTTATTTGTTTATTTATTTGTCAGCATAAGTTTGAGTGTTTATACGGAAACAGTGCGATTTTTGTGATTACTAAATAACAACGTTTTGTGAATTTTTAAGTCAATTTGTGAATATATTTTTTTTTTCTAAAATAACCATGACATCTATCACGCTGTAACACATTTTTTGTGCAGAAATAATTAGAATGAAAAAATCTTAAG